TTCTGTTGATCATGGTCATCACTATCCAACCAAGTGCTTAAATCCAGATTGCTCTTTCGGTCATTACCGCTTTTCTGTTTTATCTGGATATTATTCATTCTGATGTTCCTTAATTACCATATGTAAGCATGCTTAGAATATATTTACGATAAATATTACAGAAGGTTAGTGGGTCTGCTGAATAATCTTCTTGACTGGTTTTCCTCACATAAACTGCCTTTCCCTTGCTGAGATACTGAATAGACCCCCTTGGCGGGGCTGTTAGAGGGAATGGCAGTGTCCCCAAGCAAGGCCACCCCTAATGGTTGGTCACTCACTGAATCCCAAGAAGGGCAGCTCCATTTTGGCCTTGTTCCTTGCTCCTCCTTTGTTGGTTCTGTTGTTTTGTTGTTGTTGCTTTATGTTCCTGAGTAGTGCTCCATGTATTTTATGTTATGCTGTATTTGTAGCTCGTATTATCCTTTATTAAAATAATACTCAGTTTCCAACATCAGACCAGTATTCTGTTCCCTTGCTGTGTGTAAAAGTCCTGTTTGCAATCGGTAAAACCTAAATTGCTCAAAGTATTTGAATGCAGATCCTAGTTGATTGATCCGTATTTGTTGCCTTAGGAGACATCTGGGATGATTTTTGATTGCATATTCTCCAAGGCTATATTTCTTATGTTGGATCCATTGCAGAGGAAAACAGAAGTCAAAATCTGTTTAGCTGCAAATTGTACTTGCCACCAGTAGAAAAATCTTCTATTATTATTTTTTTCTAGCCCATTCCCAGTACCCAGTATTTAGAATATGTCTTGCATATTCTGCTTTCTGTGAAATAAATACATGGAGAAGTTAGAGCCAGGGGGTATGATACAGGATCCAGTGTTACATTGCTTTTAGTAACTGGTCAGTTTATTTCTGGCCCAGATTGCAGTGAGATTGACATATTTTATGTTCCATGGAGATGTTATGGGAAGGACAATTCAGACCTAACCATGCACAGCAGTTTTCACAGACATCCTTGTGAGCAGAGCGTGGATGCTGAGGGACCGTAATGCTGGATATGGCTTTCCAATGACTTTTGGAAAGTGTTAAATGATGTGAATCGAAGAGATGCAAAGTGTTACTGCCTGTATAGGTTCAAACAGTCCATTCTGAGGTCTGCTATGCACAGATGGGAGATTTATGGCTGTTATGCATTGCAGTTCTTCGACGTGTGCTATCCCATTTCAAATTACTTCTGGATTATACAAAAGGGTCCTCTCTGCTATTTTAATCCAAAGAATTTATGCAATCTGTTGCCCTCCAGACCTACACTACTCAGCATCCAATATGTTATATTTCCTTTCTAGCAAAAAAAATATTAGAAAATATATTTTTTTCAGACGTTTTGTAGAAGTCACTCAGCGTGTGAAACAGCTGACTTCTTCGAACTTCCTGAGCTGGAGGAAAAGTGTATAATAACAGCTGGGGAATGGGAAATCTTTTATAATGTGTCATTCTGTTTGACTGAATGGTTAGACCTCGAGGTGATACTCCATGTTGTAGTTTTAGCATAACTATTTTTCTTACTCCCAGTAGGATTGGTCAGTTGTGAAGCTATTTCAGTCTTTCCCCAAATCTGATTTTTTGCCATATCCCAGAGGTCAGGGAGTCTTCTCTCTGTACCTGGCCCTTCCCAATGCTTTTTAAGTGGTAACTGTCTTGAGGTGTGTATGAAAAATCTGTGCATCTTCCTAGTGCTGGCCCTGATCACATTCTCATTTCTAAGGCCTGTGTGAAATGCTGCTGTGTGGCCAGGGCAGATGACAGGAAAGAATTGGTAATCAATTCTTATCTATCCTATGTGAGTCCAAAATGCTTTCCAAAGTTTGCAAATACTAACTTCAGCTTCACAATATGTATTTTTCATACATCCCTATATTGCTATAAATAAAGTTTTCATCAAAGATCTTTTTGTTGCAGTCCAATGCAAAAAATGGTGAAAATGTTGTGCGAATGTTTCTTCCCATGTTTCATGAGGTAAGTTATTAATGCTATTATCTGTCAGGCGGCCAACCATCCTGAAGGAAAAAAATGGGTTCTGGACATTAATAAAGCACGATTCGGAGCAAGACTAATGAATAAGGTCCCTCACCCCTTTCCAGCTTCCCTGTAAGGACATGAGCTTAATTCATAAAAACAAACAAACAAAACCCCAACCAATAAAAAATCCATCAAACCAAAACAGCAAACAGAATTAGGAGCTGCAGGAAGGTACAGCAACAGTATCTATTTTCCGAGGCCAGCAGACACACATGGAGTAAAATACATGTTGTTTCATCTTCAACTGCCCTCCTTCTTCTCTTCTGCTTTAAAAGATGCATATATATTCTTGGGGTTCATTTCCTATCTTCCTTTTTATTTTCTATCAGAACAAAAAAAAGTGGTTTGTAGTGGTTTCTGCCCACTCTTGTGGGTGAATTTTATTCTGGGTAGGAGCTTCAAACAAGGTCTTATCAGGACTACTCGGGTCCAAAGATGCTTAGACCATTTCAGATTTTGAGGAATATTTTCTTTATGGAAAATGGACATGTGTGATTTCCTCACGGAGAGATTTTCCTGTGTTGCATTAGCAATGGCAGCAGCGTGCAGGTGGCCACGGGCCAGGCAGAGGGGACAGCGCAGGCTCTGTCCCCTGGGACTGCACTGAGGATGTCACGGACTGAAATAAGGAGAGGAAGAGAGAGGCCAACAAGAACCAAGAGGAGGAGAAAAGGCAAAACACACGCATGGATTCGAATACTGAGTTGAGAGGTCCCTAGCGCAGGTGTCTTTAAACCGTGCAGTTGTTACCTGGAGCTGAGGATACTAAACATATTTGAAAGTAATCTCACGCTGAGTAAAATAGAGGTATTTTAACATTTTTATCTATGTTTTTTCAACTGATGATACATTTACATTTCAAAAATGTAAGAAATACTGAAGGAATTATATAGAGACAATGTTTAAAATAAGAGAGCTGAGTATCCAAGACTCAGGATGACAATGGCATGTGCAAATTTCTGTATATTTCTTGTGCCTGTACACAAAAGATTGCATTAAGGGCAACAGCGATTTTAGACTTTTATTGTTGATTGTATAAAACTAACATAAATTGATTGTTTTAACGTCACTGACCACTGCAGTGAAAAAATATTCACTAGTTGAGAGAGCATAAAAATATGTTTTCACTTCATGAGTAAGTCTAACGCTTAGTGCCAGTATTTTGCAGGTAGTTTGAAATTGAATCAATATTCCCTTCCGTGCATGAGTGCAAAGACCCTCTTTGTGCAGGGGGGTTGGACTAGATGATCTCCAAAGGTCCTTTACAACATTAATCCTCCTGTGATTCTGCAATTTGGTTCTGCTGATGCTAGAATGCTGTTCAAAATTTGGGCATCAGATGTATCCTACAATATTTTGAACATAATAATTTAAGATTTAAGTTTCATGAGATTTGAAGTACATCCAAAGAAAGATTTGCGTTTCTCTTCCTGCCTCTCTTCCAGCATTTCTTCTCCACCCTGGTAGTCAGCCCTTGGCGCTGTACAGGGAAAGCAAAGTCAGTGTGAAAATTGTTGTTTCAGTAGTTCTGCTGCTGTTTCTGTACTGCCCATTTCAGTATGTGCTGCGAATGATTCTTGTGGTAATAAATCAGAACAAATGTGTTTTAGGTTCTCCATCACAGAACCCTTCTTTTAGTTATTTTATACCTTTTCATA